ACAAGCTGTAAATGGCCATTTACATTATTTATCTCATACTGTAAAAAATGATTTGTAAATAAACCAGTTTTATTGGAGTACGTTTTACAAAAAAAAACACTTTTTCAGTTTTTCTACTGCAAAATTTCTCATTTAATTCCCTTGCGTTTCGTTTTATAATTGTTTGTGACATTTACTGAGTGAAAATTGTTTCTACACCAATTTAGTTTTTCAGTGCAGAAGTCGAAGAACAAAATGGCTTCACAATAATGTGCACTGTAAGAAATCCCTGATTAAATTTGATTAACATTATCACTATATTTTCTTGTTAGTCGAGCACCTCAACGAGCTGCGTCTCAAATCCTGAAGGAAAGATGGTTTCGAACTGAAGCTGGCGAAGTCATGCATGTTTGGCCCACATCTGAGGGAACATATTGCATAAAGTCCAGAATGCATTGTGCCAACCCTAGAAGAACATTTCCAAGATGACACACAATGATAAGAAAATATTTACAATACTGAAAAGCACCAATAAGTTTCATAAAAATAATAATATGTAATTGCACTTAATATTAGCAACATGTTAAACTGATGTCACTCATGTGCTGCAGGAGAAGCTGAAGAGAACAGCATCTGTCTTTCACACACACACTCGTTCATCAAGCGATTACGTTCACTTTACACCGCGGATGAAGATGATCTGATGATGCTCTTCCTCAGTGTTCCGGTCTCGTTTCCAGCACACATATCTAAACTTTCTACAATCAAGATGCATTATACAAGATACTGGAGAAGCAAAATGACTGAGTTTATAAGTTCGTGAACAAACTTTAATGTTAGCTTGAGAAAGCCTGAAAGATTGAAGTAATTGTAAAAGCTTGATGTGTGAAATAGCTTAAATAGAGATAGAGCGATACATATATATATATAGAGAGAGAGAGAGAGCGAGAGAGCAAGAGAGCGAGGGATAGAGCGAGAGATAGAGAGAGAGAGATAGAGAGATAGAGCGAGATAGAGCGAGAGATAGAGTGAGAGAGAGAGAGAGAGAGAGCGAGAGAGAGAGCGAGTTAGAGCGAGAGATAGAGCAAGTTAGAGCGAGAGATAGAGCGAGATAGAGAGAGAGATAGAGTGAGAGATAGAGATAGATAGAGCGAGAGAGAGATAGAGTGAGAGATAGAGAGAGATAGAGCGAGAGAGAGATAGAGCGAGAGATAGAGCGAGTTAGAGCGAGAGATAGAGCGAGATAGAGAGAGAGATAGAGTGAGAGATAGAGATAGATAGAGCGAGAGAGAGATAGAGTGAGAGATAGAGAGAGATAGAGCGAGAGATAGAGCGAGTTAGAGCGAGAGATAGAGCGAGATAGAGAGATAGAGTGAGAGATAGAGATAGAGCGAGAGATAGAGCGAGAGATAGAGTGAGAGAGAGAGAGAGAGAGAGCGAGAGAGAGATAGAGTGAGAGATAGAGAGAGATAGAGAGAGATAGAGCGAGAGATAGAGCGAGTTAGAGCGAGAGATAGAGCGAGATAGAGAGAGAGAGAGAGAGAGAGAGATAGATAGAGTGAGAGAGAGAGATAGAAAGATAGAGCGAGAGATAGAGCGAGAGAGAGATAGAGAGATAGAGTGAGAGATAGAGATAGAGAGAGAGAGAGATAGAGAGATAGAGCGAGTTAGAGCGAGAGAGAGAGCGAGAGAGAGAGATAGATAGAGCGAGAGAGAGATAGAGTGAGAGATAGAGAGAGATAGAGAGAGATAGAGCGAGAGATAGAGCGAGTTAGAGCGAGAGATAGAGCGAGATAGAGAGAGAGATAGAGTGAGAGATAGAGATAGATAGAGCGAGAGAGAGATAGAGCAAGAGATAGAGCGAGCTAGAGCGAGAGATAGAGCGAGATAGAGAGAGAGATAGAGCGAGAGATAGAGATAGATAGAGCGAGAGAGAGATAGAGCGAGAGATAGAGCGAGTTAGAGCGAGATAGAGAGAGAGATAGAGTGAGAGAGAGATAGAGCGATAGAGCGAGAGATAGAGCGAGAGAGAGATAGAGCGAGAGATAGAGTGAGAGAGAGAGAGAGAGATAGAGCGAGAGATAGAGATAGAGAGAGAGAGAGATAGAGCGAGAGATAGAGATAGAGAGATAGAGCGAGAGATAGAGCGAGATAGAGAGAGAGATAGAGCGAGAGATAGAGATAGAGCGAGAGAGAGATAGAGCGAGAGATAGAGAGAGAGAGCGAGTTAGAGCGAGAGAGAGAGAGATAGAGAGAGAGATAGAATGAGAGAGAGAGATAGAGCGAGAGATAGAGAGATAGAGCGAGAGAGAGAGATAGATAGAGCGAGAGAGAGATAGAGTGAGAGATAGAGAGAGATAGAGAGAGATAGAGCGAGAGATAGAGCGAGTTAGAGCGAGAGATAGAGCGAGATAGAGAGAGAGATAGAGTGAGAGATAGAGATAGATAGAGCGAGAGCGAGAGAGAGATAGAGCAAGAGATAGAGCGAGCTAGAGCGAGAGATAGAGCGAGATAGAGAGAGAGATAGAGCGAGAGATAGAGATAGATAGAGCGAGAGAGAGATAGAGCGAGAGATAGAGCGAGTTAGAGCGAGATAGAGAGAGAGATAGAGTGAGAGAGAGAGATAGAGAGATAGAGCGAGAGATAGAGCGAGAGAGAGATAGAGCGAGAGATAGAGTGAGAGATAGAGCGAGAGATAGAGTGAGAGAGAGAGAGAGAGATAGAGCGAGAGATAGAGATAGAGAGAGAGAGAGATAGAGAGATAGAGCGAGTTAGAGCGAGAGATAGAGCGAGATAGAGAGAGAGATAGAGCAAGAGATAGAGATAGAGAGATAGAGCGAGAGAGAGATAGAGCGAGAGATAGAGAGAGAGAGCGAGTTAGAGCGAGAGAGAGAGAGATAGAGAGAGAGATAGAATGAGAGAGAGAGATAGAGCGAGAGATAGAGAGATAGAGCGAGAGAGAGCAAGAGATAGAGAGATATGATTGAAGAAATAGATGAAAAGATAGATGAAATGATTTATTTTCATTTTGATATATTTCATTTTGATTTATTATGATATAAATGTAATGTATTCATGCATTTGTTTACATTATTAATTTATTGATTATTTGTTCATTGCCTATGAAATGGCCAATGCTTTGGCAATACTGTATAAGTCATGCCAATAAAGCTCATTTGAATTTGAATTTGAATTTGAGAGATAGAGCGAGAGATAGAGAGCGAGAGATAGAGAGAGATAGAGAGAGAGAGAGAGAGAGAGAGAGAGAGAGAGAGAGAGAGAGAGAGAGAGAGAGAGAGAGAGAGAGAGAGAGAGAGAGAGAGAGAGAGAGAGAGAGAGAGAGAGAGTTTAAAAAGCTTAAAGGTTTTAAGTTTGAATCAGTTTTAAATACTCAATTTGAAGGTTTCTCAGACAAATTGTTTGTTATGGAGTTTTTAAGGTGTTGCTAGGTTACCGGGGGTGGTTGCTAGGGTGTCGCTATGCGGTAGCTAGGTTACTCGGGTGGTTGCTAGGGTGCTGAAAAACAATCTTGTTTTTCCTTTGAATCAAATGTTTTTTTCTGACCCCACTGGCAGATAATTCTTCTTGTTTTAAGCATAAACTCGCTTAATTTGGGTTAGGGTTAGGGTCAGCCTAACCCTTTTTTTCAGAAAACAAGACTTAATATCTTCAGTCATTTTGCTTCTCCAGTAAATCTATCTTTATTTAAGAATGTTTTGAAATTTGTTCTGGAAAAAAAGACAACGAAACTGAGAAAGATGTGTTTTTTTTGTTTTTTTTCAGTGTAGCAATCTAACTTTCTAATAAACTTGACATTGTGCGCTTTAAATATTGTTGGCTCAGTGACCAATTGCCGTTGTTCCTCTATTGTAAGCGTTTGGATCAAAACTCAAAAATACATAAATGCAAATGTTCGTGGAGATGCCCATGTGAGTTAGTTGTTAGTTCATGTTATCTCAGATTCATTAAATAATATTAACATGCAACTTTTGATTTGAATAATGTACTAGTAAATGTTAGACTAACTCATGCATTGATCTTAGTTAATGTTAATTCAACATTTACTAATACATTATTAAATAGATATTATTTAATAGAGCTAAGCTAACATCAATAACCAGTTGTATTTTTATTCACTAGCATTAACAAAGACTGATAAAAACACATGTATTTCACCAATGTTAGTCAATGCATCAATTAGAACCTTATTGTAAAGTTATATCAATTAATTTATTCATGGTAAAATGTGTTAAATGTCTCTTATTGATGAATAAAAGCACAATCAAAATAGCCAAAACATTAAATTGACAAACAAGCATGTGTAGAAATTGATGAAGTTTGCAAAGAATTCAATTTCCGATTGACTGTCAGATCAATTCCCAAGAATATATCCATTAATGTAACCAACTTGCTTGCTTCATGGACTAATATATCACGTTTTCATATTTACAAGACGGTCAGTAGAAAGTGTTCAAAACACATATTGTGTTTCCAAAAGATATATATTTTTTGTATAAACAGCACATACACTCTCTAAGGCAGTTCTTCGGGCATGTCTGTAAAGTTAGTTTGTATCAAAACCATAGACCGTAAAAAAGATATGGACATAGTGTTCGTGACGTCACCCGTGGGTTTCTGAAGAGCATTTTTGAAGCATTTTTGGGCGGAGCCGGCCGTCGCCATCTTGGACGCATCACTCCCGGATAAACGCAAATGTGCAGCGAGGCGGATTAGCTGAGGTGACGTGACGCTAACACACAGCAGACAAACGGCTAGTAGTGACATCAGCGGCAATCCGCCTGTCACTCAAGTGGCCACGCCCTTAATTATACAGAACTTTAAGGCTTGATATAATTTAAACGGATGAGTTATAAAAATATTCACCCCCCTCACAGTCGTCATGAAGGGCAACTTTAGCTATATAGACCAAAACCACTTTTTGCACCAGGCTGTAAACAGATTGTTTCTGCTGTAAAGTTGGGCAATTTAACATGGGAGTCTATGGGATTGACTCTCTAGTGGTCAGTTGATGAACTGCAGTTTAAGTCACTTCCTTGTTGAATTCAAGAGAGAAACAGTCCCTTGATCAAAACACGTAGACGTACGTTGACCGGCTGTCGCTTCCCACAACGTTCTTGGCGGTGCACTTATAGACGCCGTTGTCTTTACCGGAAGGGTTTTGTATGACCAGTGAACCCTGTGGATGGAGATACTTGTTTCCGTAAAGACGCGGCTGGACGCCGACCTTCAGTTGAAGACCGTCAGGCATTTCCCAAACCACCTCGGCTTTCGGTGTGGCGAGAGGCATGCAGTTTAGCTGAACCGCTACACCGGGGCGGGCGTAGGTTACCGGCGTGGGTCCTCTGGTTATTCGCGGAGGATACGCGATTACGATCACCGAAACCGACAGACTGGAAGATCCAAATTCATTGATTGTCTGGCAGACGTACATTCCCCTGTCATACACAGATGTCCTTTGTACGGATAAAGTGCCGTTGTTCAAAACAGCGTAACGACCCGTCGCTTGCGGCCTTGTTAGGACGACTCCGTTCGGTAAAGTCCACGTGAGTTTAGGCGACGGATAACCGGCGGACATACAGTTAAGCTGCAGATTCTCGCCGTTTATGATGCTAACGAGTGAGCTGTATTGGTTTATGATGTCTGGTTTTCTGTCGGACTGTAACGTCACAGTCCGCTCGACATATCCAGCGCTGTTTCGCCCAACGCACCGATATCGGCCAACCTCAGAAACCGTCGGCTCTCGAATGACCAGCGTTCCATCAAACCGGTGATTGAAACGGAAAATGCTGGTTCCCTTGAGAAGAGAAGTCCCGTTAGGGAGGATCCATGTGACCTCCGGAGTCGGTTTTCCTTCTATTGAACAGTTTAGACTCAATGGTTTCCCATCGGTAAGCGAGACGGACTCTGTGGGAAGACTTCTCAACCGTGGCTTTTCAACATCCTCGGTCACCTCAAGTTGAACCTGGAGTTTGGTTTCTCCGGCTTCATTGCGTGCGATGCAAAGCAACGTCGAGGAATCGCTTATCCGCGCCGCATGGATGTCCAGTGATCCGTTGAGGTGGACCATGATCCGTGAGCCGTAGTACGGCGCGGGAAGCACGACGTTGTTGGGAAACACCCACATGATCTTTGGAACTGGGTTCCCGTTTGCTTTGCAGTCTAAAAGCACATGCTGATCCTTCACGACAGTTTTACGGATGATCCCGGGACTCTCGAATCCGTTGATGACCGGTGGCGACACAAGGACTTCAACATAAACGACTTTCTTGTCCATTCCCACAACATTCCTGGCTGAGCAAGTATAATTTCCGGTGTGAAACCTTTGGATTTTCTGAATGCGTAAAGTGCCATCGTTGGAGACCTGGTAGTTTTCGGATGCTGGCGCTATGACGCGTTGATCCGGAGACGTCCATGTGATTCTGGGAATTGGTTCTCCTTTGGCGCTACAGTTCAGGACTCCTGTCTCTCCGTAAGGAACTTTGATTACACTGTAAGCGTTGTTTCGAATGATCGGAGCATCCGCCAGGACCTTGATATGAACCTTCATTTCATCTTTCCCAATCCGATTCTCGGCGTAGCACGTGTAGTCGCCTTCCTCTTTCATTCCCACTTCGTTTAAATACAACGTGCCATTGTCGAACATCACGTATCTCTTGGTGCGGATCGAGTTGTCGTGGGACTGTGGGATGGTGTTCACCGTGGTACCGTCGGGAAGACTCCACGTGATTTCTGGATTGGGAAAACCTGAAGCGATGCAGTCCACTTTCAGCTCTCCTCCGTACGACACCTTGCGGTCGCTCAGGGACTTGTGGTCGATTTTAGCGGCTTTCATCATCACGTTGACTTTAAGGAGAACGTAGTCGTCGCCCATTTTGTTTCTGGCCACACAGAGATAGTCGCCCTCATCGTTCTCGGTCACTGACGTGATGGTGAGGGTGCCGTTGGCGAACACTTTCATTCTGCGATCAAAGCTGAAACGAGTCAAAAGAGAGAGGTTACATGCTGATACTAGTATGTATTATTTATTAAAGGGCTCATATAATTGGAGGAATCACATTTTCATTGATGATCTTTAGAGATTAAAGAGTTCAATGTACAATCAAAAAAAATATTTTTTAGAAAATCATACTCTACTTCCTTTCAGTGGAAAAATTTGCATTACTGTCGTAGCAAAAATGTACTCGAGTTATTAAAAATTAAAATAGAACTAAAGATATATAAGATTTATTTTTCCTAAAAATTCTAAAACAAAATTTGGATTAAAAATCATTTCAAGGGTAACAGAGTAAAATATATATCAAAAACACAAGGTAGATTTGATTGGTCATGATACTCTAAGAACTCTAAAACTTCATTCCAGTGAAAAATAACATTTTCATTGTTTTTTTTTAGAACCAAGATAAAAAAAATTCTAAACTTAATTTCAGTGGGGGAAAAAAAAGAGCATATTTACTCTTTCTGAAATCCTTGATTTCTAGTGTCAGAACCCGAATTTTTAGCAAACAACCACTCACATTTACACATAAACAATGCCTATTTCCATCTCTACAGTGGCACATTTGCAAAACGGTCTATGTTTTAGTAGGGGTCTTTTACATTTTTTATCCAAACGTAATAAAAAATGTGTGGTAGGACCAAAAATTTCCACAAGAATCCTAATGATATCAAGGCTGCATGGTCTCTATATAAGCCTGAGCAGATCATGGAGACCATTGGTGCCAATGTTTTCAATGATCGACTGTCAAACAAATGTTGTTAATTCAGAACTAATGTTTCATTTTTGCCACACTGCAAAGTTGTTTTTAATTTCATTCTGTATCCATTTATATTCTTCTTATTTGCCTGTCGTCTGTAATTAATTATACTTCATGCTGTTTTGCTATTTTGTTAATCATGCTCTGTATCCAACAGCGTATATGGAGATAATTAAAGGAATTTCAAAGAGGCCAGAGACCGTACGAATCATTATGTGTGGCGTAGTATCTATGTTTAATAGATTTAAATTATTTTTAAATACTTTTTTGTTGTTTCAGTTAACTTTAGGATTTAGGATTTATAAAATGGGTTTATGTGAAATGTTTTATTAGCCTATTTATGTTTATTATTTAACTTTTCCATCATTCAATTTGCATCATTCAGCCTCTTTGCAAAGTCTGCATTAGATTGTAACAGATTCACAAGACAATCGGCACTGAAATGTACCTCTTAAACTGTTCATATTAGACTAATGCACTGATCCATGATCATTTCAAAGACTTATAAATGCCCTCTTTACAAGTGAAATGAGTCACAACATGTTGTTGTGCTCAAACTGAGGGTGTTATTATATATTTAACTTAACTATCATTCAATTCTCATCATTCAGCCTTTTTGCATTAGATTATGACAGATTGTCAGACTGAATTGTGCCACTCATACGCTTCAGATTAGGCCAAACTGATCATGGATCTTGAAATGCAAGTATCCTAAACGGTCTAATTTAAGTATCTAAACACTCAATAGGCATTGCTGACATGCTTGATTCCTCATTAAATTGACCCCTGTAAGCACAAATCCCAAATGAAAACATGGTAATATGCAAATTCCTGTACCTGTAATATGCATCAACCAGTTTTTTCGAAGGTGTCCTCCAGATGATCCTAGGATTGGGGCTTCCAGTGGCCGAACAGTCGAGACTCAGTCGAGATCCGTATCGGACATCAGTGTTGTGTGCGGAAGCGGACATGATCCTGGCAGAAGTCGAGTTCCTCTTCACCTGCAGATTTACAATCCTTTTAACCACGCCCACAGAATTCACAGCAACACATTCATAATTCCCAGAATCCTTCTCCGTAGGATTGCGAATAAACAGCGTCCCGTTGGGGAAAACAAACAAGTTGCTGTTGATGAACTGCGAGGGGCGAAGCTGCGTGCCGGTAACCGTGACCCATCGGATTGCTGGACTTGGCGAGCCTTTAGCGGTGCAGTGAATGAACGCTGACTGGCCGTCAGAAACGGTGTGGTTTTCCCAACGCTGCTCTTGGATCTTGGGAGGCAACGCTGCAATTTGGAGCCTCACGGAAAGCATGTCGGCTCCGGCAGCGTTGCTCGCTATGCATTTGTAGACGCCCTTGTCCAGGTAATTGGTGTGCTTGACTTGAAGCGATCCATTGGCGAAGAGCATGATCTTCTGTTCGGTGTTACTAACGGCGCGCACCACCGAACGGTTTGGAAGCACCCAGCTAATGTTTGGGATCGGGAGACCTTGTGCTTGGCATTCCAAGAGTGCACTGTTTCCTAGGAACACCGTCACATCTTGATGACGTGGAAGGGTCATCTTGGGTCCGTGGGCCGACACCACCAGGGTCACCATCATCTTATCAATGCCGTGTAGATTGCGAGCGCTGCACAGGTACTGCCCGCGGTCCTGAAGCTGAACGTTGTGGATGACAAATGTGCCGTTGGACTGGACTTCAAACCGCTGGATTCTGGTGTTGGTTGACATGACAGCTCCTGTGGAAAATAAAATGTGAGGAAGGATTAATTAATTTAAATCAGTTAAGAGCTGCTACAAATATAGAAAAGAGAGAAAGGGAGATTGAAGTGTCAAAATTTGACAACAAGTGTCAAATTAATAAAACTATGAATTTACTATGAATTTACAGGCAGTAAGGTTGCACAAAACACTACTTTTAGTTTATCTGCCTAGTCTCTATAACAAATTCTAATTAATATATATTTTTAAATTAAGAACATACAGTATCTTTAAAATGAAATAATATAATTTTTATATATATGCAAACACACACACACACACATACATATATACATTATATATATATATATATATATTATGGGTGTGTATTTATATAATATATACTGTATAATATAGCTGTCACGCTTTGGCTGCGTGAGGCATGTTCAGGAAGAAGAAAACGCATCAGGCTTAAACTCAATTTTGTTACGAACAAGACACGTACCAGACTAAGCAAGCAGTGAAGACAAGACCCGACAAGGGAGAACTGAAACTAGGGAGACTATATACACAGACAATTGAGGAGACTAAGCGACAACAGCTGCACACAGTGAGTGATGACGTCTGTGATTTAGACAGGTAACAGGTGAAACCAATTAACAATAAAACACATGGTGCACAAACACAGAAGGCAAAACAAAGTCCAAGACAGGTGTCAAAATGAAAATAGCAAACATACACAATGTATATATATATATATATATATATATATATATATATATATATATATATATAATGCAATATTATACCGTATATATTATATAAATACACACACACACACATATATATATACACTCACCGGCCACTTTATTAGGTACACCTGTCCAACTGCTCGTTAACACTTAATTTCTAAGCAGCCAATCACATGGCGGCAACTCAGTGCATTTAGGCATGTAGACATGGTCAAGACAATCTCCTGCAGTTCAAACCGAGCATCAGTATGGGGAAAAAAAAGGTGATTTGAGTGACTTTGAACGTGGCATGATTGTTGGTGCCAGAAGGGCTGGTCTGAGTATTTCAGAAACTGCTAATCTACTGGGATTTTCACGCACAACCATCTCTAGGGTTTACAGAGAATGGTCCGAAAAAGAAAAAACATCCAGTGAGCGGCAGTTCTGTGGGCGGAAATGCCTTGTTGATGCCAGAGGTCAGAGGAGAATGGCCAGACTGGTTCGAGCTGATAGAAGGGCAACAGTGACTGAAATAACCACTCGTTACAACCGAGGTATGCAGCAAAGCATTTGTGAAGCCACAACACGCACAACCTTGAGGCGGATGGGCTACAACAGCAGAAGACTCCACCGGGTACCACTCATCTCCACTACAAATAGGAAAAAGAGGCTACAATTTGCAAGAGCTCACCAAAATTGAACAGTTGAAGACTGGAAAAATGTTGCCTGGTCTGATGAGTCTCGATTTCTGTTGAGACATTCAGATGTTAGAGTCAGAATTTGGCGTAAACAGAATGAGAACATGGAACCATCATGCCTTGTTACCACTGTGCAGGCTGGTGGTGGTGGTGTAATGGTGTGGGGGATGTTTTCCTGGCACACTTTAGGCCCCTTAGTGCCAATTGGGCATCGTTTAAATGCCACGGCCTACCTGAGCATTGTTTCTGACCATGTCCATCCCTTAATGGCCACCATGTACCCATCCTCTGATGGCTACTTCCACCATGTCACAAAGCTCTAATCATTTCAAATTGGTTTCTTGAACATGACAATGAGTTCACTGTACTAAAATGGCCTCCACAGTCACCAGATCTCAACCCAATAGAGCATCTTTGGGATGTGGTGGAACGGGAGATTCGCATCATGGATGTGCAGCCGACAAATCTGCGGCAACTGTGTGATGCCATCATGTCAATATGGACCAAACTCCCTGAGGAATGCTTCCAGCACCTTGTTGAATCTATGCCACGAAGAATTGAGGCAGTTCTGAAGGCAAAAGGGGGGCCAACCCGTTACTAGCATGGGGTACCTAATAAAGTGGCCGGTGAGTGTATATACACACACATATACTGTATATATATATATATGTGTGTGTATAAGTATATTTTTTGTTTTTATGTGCAAATATGTGAGTGTGTGTGTGTGTGTGTGTATACTGTATATGCACAGATAACACAAAAATCCTTTTATTTTCATACTCTCTACATAGTCTCTAATATATATAAAGAAAGAGAGAGATTGAAAAAATAAGAAAACAAAAGTGTGGAAACCTTTAAGAAAAACAAACAAATTTCACTTTTGGGAAACTGTTCTAAAACTTTAAACTTAAAGTATCAAGATCATTTTTGCTTTATGCATTAAAATTATACTGTATTTTCTGAATATGTTGAAACTGTAAGTACTTGTCATGTCATCATGTCATATGTGAGTTACCTGTGGAGACTTTGGTCCAGGTCAGGAGGGGCTTCGGCTCCCCCACAGAATCACATGGTAACTGCACATCTGTCCCAGCATTCACAGTGACTGTGTGCAGTTTGCCAGCAGTGATTCTGGGTCTCATTTGCAGGACGGGAAGAGTTTGTGATCCTTGAGATGAAAGAACTGCACTCGACTGTCTGTTTATTGATTGAGGAATCTGAATTTGGTTGTTTGGCTGTGTGGTGCTTGATGTAGTTGTGGGACTTGAGTCGGCTGATCTAGCAGTTGCTGTCAATATTTTAGGGGCTGTAGTTGATTTGATGTTGTTGACAGAGTTTAAATCCACAGATGAGGTGGTTGTGGACAGTGTTCTGAGAATACTGGGTCTCATATTGACAGATGGGTTTCTATTATGATAGTACGGATACCTGTGATTTGTGCTGGGAATTCTTTCCCTGTGCCTGGAATCTATGTAGTTCGTTCCAGGATTTCTTGAGTAAAATGGGATTCTGTTGTCCGGTAAGAGATAACTGGGTGTTAACTTTAGAACAGGTGTAGTAGTAGTAGTAGTAGTAGTAGAATATAATACGGGTGTTGTCGACAGTGTAGTAGACGGTGATATTATTCTAATAAGTTGGGTTGTAATGGGAATCATGACTGTAGTTGATGGAAACGTAATTGTGGGCAAAGTATTCAGTGATGTTGTAGGTTCATCGAGTTTATTGACTAACCTTTCCCTTTGGTCTTCATTAGAAATCAAGTTTGGTTGTAAGAAGTTTATGACATTGGTTTTACTGCGAGTAATATGAGTTGGCATTTGTGAACTTGTGGCTAAAGACTCTATTTGTGTCCCAACAGATTCTGTAGGAGTCTCTGCTGTTGAGGAAAAAGATACCTTGTTGTTAACTGATTCTTCTTCTTTAAAGTTTGGATTTGGTTGTGAAAGCGAGTAGTCTTGGGGTTGTGGCATGGAGGTGACAATAGATTCTTCTATGGAAGTAACATTTTCTTTTGTACTAGTTGCTTCCAATGTATCGTTCTCTCTTAGATCATCTCTAAAGTGTGATTCAGGTATGTTCAAAAATTCCAGCCCGTCTGCGTCCAATGTAAAGCTGATCTCTGTTGGATCAATCTCTTTGTTGGCTTTTGGTAACGCTGTTGAAAGCGTGCTTGTGAACTCCTGCCAAGCAGTTGTCATTGGGGCAGTTTCAGTGCCATAGCGAGATGTTGGAGCTACACTCATGGGAACCATGTACTCATCCATCTCCTCAGCGGATGCAATGCCTTCAACCTCTTCCTCCTCTACAGAAGTAATGTCTTTATTTCCTAGCCCTGAAACCCCAGACACTGTCGCTGATGTTGTTCTCATGGGGTGAGATGTAGAGCTATTCATCTCCTGAATTTGGAGGAAATTACTTGCCTTTACTTTGTGGATTTCTGGACCAGTTTTCTCAACCGGGAGGGAGATTGCAATTTCCTCAATGGCATTTGTTAACTCTCTCTGCACTGTAGGATAAAAGTGAGAAGTAAATGGATGGACTGACGTGCCTTCAGATAGGGTTGTAAGGTATATGTGGGTAGTACTCGGATATTCAGACATACTAGCAGTTACTAGGATAGTTGGATGGATTAATGTGCTTTCAGTTGGAGATGTGGAGTAAATGTGAGCAGTCGTTGTAGTAGCTGGATGGATCAATGTGTCTTCAGCTGGCTTTCTGGGATCTGTTTTCAAAGTTACAGTTGGTACATGAACTCCTGCAGCTGTAGATGTTACCCAAGGTCTTCTTCTAGCAAGGTTTGACAATGGCCTTCTGAATTTTATTCGTCTTCTCCCTCCAAATCTTCGCCTGGAGCTCCAGTGATCTTTTGTTCTCGATTGTGTTGAACTTGTCGGCCTAATGCTGCCGGTTGATGTGGTAGAAAATGAAGTGCTGTCAAGCTGTCCAGAATCAAACCCCCCAATCTGAGACTGCACACCTGTCTTTCCGGATAAATTAAGTTCATTTTCTGTCTCAGACTTCGGGCTGATGACAGACCCGGAGTTATTCTCTGCACTTATGGTACTCACATACCCTCCTTCAGCAACGTTCACCTCTGTCATAACATAATGAGGTCCAGATGTGGGATTTGAGATGTAAGACACTTTGTCTGAGCTAGTGTGTAATTCCGGAGGTGCCGTTTTGTAGATGTTATAATTTCGTCCCTCAATATGAGGTGTAATTGCATGCGTGTGGTAAACATCCGTTTGGTATGGAGTGCTGAAAGTGTTTGATTCCTCCTGTAGACCGGAGTCACCAGAAGAACTCTCGGTGTTGTCAATCGATCCTGGATGATCTTCATTCCCCATCTGTAGACTTTTCTCAGGAGTGCCATGTTGGACAATGTGATTTGATGAGTTTTTTGGATAGGTTTTCTCACGGATTTTGGACAAAAGTTTGGCCCATTTCAGGGGGTCTATATTGTTCTTACCATTAACAGTTCTTTGATTTGTGACGGCAGTTCTTTTTGGTTCTCCATGCATGCCCTTTCTAAAGGGCCGTCTACGGCGAAAGTTGCCTTGTATTCTTGCATTCGGACCCCTCCTACGATTAATAAAGCTTCTGTTTGGTTCTTTTCTCTCTTGAGTTTCAGAACCATCTCCAGAAGCATCTTCCACATCTTCCAAAAAGGCCTTTACCTTAGTGGACACTCCCGCAGCTGACTGAGGTCTAACGGGATACTGTCGCAGTGGCTGAATTACTCTCCGTCTCATGACAGTTAGTTTAGTAGCCAGTACATCCACACCATGCTGGTTCATGGCGACACATTTGTAATATCCATTGTTGTTAAGCTGACTATGAGGAAGGAACAAAGTCCCATTGGAAAATAGTAAAGCCTTGGATGTATTTGCATTGGCATTCAGTACACTGCCATCTGGAAATATCCAATTCACCACCGCATCTGGTGTTGCCGTAGTAAGACAGGGCAAAGAAGCAGACTCGCCAACAAACTTACTTAAAGCATTTCCAACCTCTTGACCTGGAAGCGGGCTCGAAGACTCCATAACTGATAAGCGGAACGGCAGAACATCGATATCTCCTGCAATCTCAGCAATGCAGTAATAAACGCCAGAGTCTCTGTGCTCGATGGATTTAACGTGAAGCTTGCCGCTTCTAGAGACGCTCACTCTGTTGTCGGTCGAGCTAAACGCAGCTTTAATCTTCGACCCATCGGGCATCATCCATTGAACGGCTGCATTTCCAGAGCTTTGCACACGGCAGTCCATTTCAATCATACCACCGACAACAGAACTGAAGCTCGTCTGGGTTTTATTATCATCTTCAATCATGACCCAAGATCTGACGAGCTCCTTGTCTGTGGTGGTTGTCAAATGAGTATTAAGAATGAGTCTCACACTTTTGGAGGAGGAATAAGGTCTGTTTAACTTGATGTTCATGAAAGACTGCATGAGCCAAGGTGGATGGGTTAAAACATTAGCTCGGACACCAGTGTAAAAGTAGGAGTCCTTTTCAATGTCCTGTCTGTATCTGTAGCTCAGCTCCGGCTCTCTGCTCAGCATGATCTCTCTTCGCAGATGCATGGGAACTTCACTGTAGTAAGCAAGAAGCCTCCAAAAGCTTTCATAGCTGTCTCTGTCCACAGGACACTCCACGTCAAAGAATAAAGTCACGTTAGCAGCGATCTGCAGAGATTTAGTGTAATTCCAGCTGATTTTAGTGGCCTCTCTTGGTTCAAGTATTTGGCAGACCAAGTCCACTTTAGTCCCATGCTCGTCGGATAAACCAAAGGAGACATTTCCGAAAGGTGGTTTGATCCTGTCGATGGGCAGAAGTTCACTGGTGTTGTCCTCAAGTGAGATGTTTTTTCCTGGAGAGCTGATAGCTGGTCCAGAGCAGATGAACTCTTTAAGATCCGAGATGTCGTGTCCTTTAAGGTGTTTAGGAAACGAGCACAGTGGACAGAGCTGACCGCTGACAAATGTTCTGTCCTTCTTGCATTTCATCACCCCTTGGAAAAAGAAACAAATCCAGACTTTAGAAGATGGAGTTTGTACTTCACTCAGTGTTCCAACAAGTCATAGACCTAAACAGCAGATACATGTTTTATGCTTATAAAGCTTTTTATGCTTTCTCACTTGCTGCTTTGTAACTATTTAAATTGTGAATAATGCAATAAAATGTATTCTAACCCTCAGTACTAAACTTCTGCAATTAATTCAGCTCAGATTTTTTAGTTTAAAATCCTCCTTTGACTTGCACTCAGGGCCTAAAATTAACACTCGGTAAGTGCCAAATGCAATAAAAATTGGTGAGTATATGAAACGGTGTCACTCGCCAGTTGGCCGGTAACATTATTATGAATTATAACAATGCATGAATGCATACAAACGTGAATGATGCTTGGGATAGTTGATGAGCCAGCGCTGCATCATCACGAAAGTTTAAGCCTTGATAATTTAAATATTCAAGTTCAAGAAGACACGAAAGGGAGCTCATTGCGTTACCCGCGCACTGTGCGTAAAGTTTTATGTGCGCAAACATCGTAAGCTCTGAAATCCGCGTCTCAGACTAAACTGAGATGTCTTTCACATCTCATTGCACTTGAACGGACAAATTCACAGAAAATTATGTAAAAAAATAGCGAGTATCCAAGTAAACATAGTCAGTTACGTCTTAAGTGAACGTAAACAGTTGAGAAAGTAAACGCATGTATCAGTGTATTGGATTGGTGCATTCGCTCTTAAAGTGACAGCAGCCTAATATTCCTGCTGCTATCTGTGTTTTTAATGTTAAACAACAAAGGACAAAGAAAAACTCAAAAACTGCTCGTGTGAGTGATTACAGTGAAGACTATGCAGTGTTATTTTACATTTGCTTGCTTTATTAAATTCCTGTACCTGGAAACTGCAGTCAAATCTACCTGAAAAAGCTGAAAAGCACTTGTATCTTTGTTGTATTGTATTTATTTGTTCTTTTGCTGGTTATATGATTATTTTTTTCTTATTTTATTACGGTTTACTTGTCTTTAATAATGTTTTAAATGTATATTAGTTAGGCTAGTAGTTTTAAAATTGGAATAGAGAACTGTGAAATTTCGGTTCGCGTACCAACCCCGAAGTGATAAAATAAAATAAAATTCTCTATCAAAATTTATAGGCAAGACAAGTAGTTTGTTTAGGCATGGTTTGTAGGGAATTACAAACCTGCGCACATATATTCAAACGCACATAACTATAGAATCAATTCTTAAAGCGCATGTGAACGCCATCAGCGTTTATCACAGGTTGAGTTTAAAGTCTGTGTAGAGAGAACGGCGTCGTCTTAGCGGCCCCTAATTTAATAACAAATGATCATTTCAACGGAAATGAATCAATCAAAACTAACTTTAGCTGGAAAATAACATTATTCAAGAACCGATATAAAACCAAACCAGTCTGTTATCTTAAAGTATATTAAGTTTATCTCTGTAAAGCTGCTTTGAGACAATCTACATTGTTAAAAGCGCTATATAAATGAGGATGACTTGACTTGAATGTTCTCTGGTATCTACAGTAAAATTTTGGTGTCATTACTGCCCATTTTCTTTTGTGTTTCATGGCTGGTAAAAAAAATATTTATGGCAGGTACATTTTTTTATGCCCTGCTTACATTCATAGAGTGTTAAGCATTTAAAATGCAACAGACAGTGATGAGGTCGTTGGAATTTTAAAAATGATAAATTCTAATCATACTGAGTTATTTCTTTACACATACAGGTGAAACTCTAAATATTCGAATATTGTGCAAAAGTTCATTTATTTCAGTAATTCAACTTAAAAGGTAAAACTGATATATTATATAGACTCATTACATGCAAAGTGAGATATTTCAAGCCTTTATTTGTTTTAATTTTGATGATTATGGCTTACAGCTTATGAAAACCCCAAATTCAAAATTAGAATATTGTGAAAAGGTTTTCATAAGCTGTTAGCCATAATGATCAAAATTATAACAAATAAAGGCTTGAAATATCTCACTTTGCATGTAATGAGTCTATATAATATATCAGTTTCACCTTTTAAGTTGAATTACTGAAATAAATGAACTTTTGCACCATATTCTCATTTTTCGAGTTTCACCTGTAAATAAAGAACTGACCTTAAACTCTAACATTAACATTATTCTTCTGCTGCTGCACAAATACTGAGATTCTCTTCAGGAAATTCAAATGTATTTGATAACAGAGTGAACATCTGAAGCACTCGGATACAGATGATTTACCTGAATTTCGTGCGCTCCAATCCTGTAACCAGCTCATCCGGCAGTCGCAGCTCCACGGGTTTCCACATAAGAAGAGGTTCTCCAGCTGAGGCATGTTCTCCAGCATGTTTCGGGGTAGTGAGCGCAGGAGGTTGTCCGAGAGATACAGATGCTTCAGGCTGGACACGGGGAAACGCTGTAGCAGTGAGAAGGTGCTGAAAGTAGCATGATGGAGCTTTTGCAGAAGGTTGGCCTCTAGGTGGAGCAAACGAAGCGACGTCATCCCGCTGAACGCATCCGGGTGGATGAACTCTATGCGGTTGTGGTCCAGATGAAGCCTAATAAGGCCCGTCAAACCAGAGAAGGTGTGCCCGGTAATGACTCTCAGTTTGTTGTAGCTCATTTTTAAGACCTGCAGGAAATACACATTCACTCTTTGGCAGTGAACTCTGAGTTATTATGACAAAATAACAAGCCAGTATGTCCTATGAGCACACTTTTACATTCACCAGTCAAACTAGAGTAAATTTACTAGCCAGAACTAATTAATTAGAACTAAATTGAGTGCTAGTGTGCTTCATCAAATGGCTTGTTTTACCTGCAACGAAACAAGATCCTGAAAAGCACCATCTGATATTTTCTGCACATTGTTGCCGTGCATCATCAGTAGCTCCAGTTTCCGAAGGCCACCAAAAGAGACGTCTGTGATGTGATTTATAGCGTTAAACCTGTTAAATAGTAAAAGCATTGTTATCAATCATATTTTCAAAATTAAGTTGTATTTAATCATCAGCATTGGAGCTTGTTTCTGCCACAGACTGAAAGGGAATTGCAACTTTTCTTCTCACAATTCTGACTTTTTTCCTCACAATTACAAGTTATAACTCACCATTGTTATAACTCATACACCACCAGAATAAAAACCTTTATTTTATTTAATTCTGTGGCAGAAACAAGCTTCCAAACATGAGTTATTTCTTTACACTGAAGTTATATTATAACCAAAAAATGCTCTTTTTATGCACACATATATATCGTGGATGGCCTGGGCTAGTTGTCACATGGAGAAGTTGTTTCAAGGTCTATATTTTAGTAATTCAGTTTTGAGTCAAAAGTCACATGATGTAAATGATTGTTGTCTCTCTAGCAAAGATTTTATGTTGATTTCAAACTTTTGTTGATTTCAAAATATGTAATTTTTAAAAATATTCTACCCCCAAACTTTGTAAGCTTGTTTCTGCCAAGCAATAAAAAAAAAATAAAAAAAGGTAATTACAACTTTTTATCTCGCAATTCTTTTTTCAAAGAGAAAAAAAATACTTTTCTTTTGCAATTGCGAGTTTATATCTCAGAATTATGACTGTTTTTCTCAGAATTGTGATATATCAACTTGCAATTGTGAGTTATAAAGTCCGAACTGTGGGGTTTAAACTATTTTAGCTATATTATAATAAACTATAAAGACTATATTAGGCTGGTTCCATTTTGACAACTTACTCTATATAATGTATCAAATAGTTAACTTATAAAAACTGTATAATTTTTAACATAACATAAACCTGCCATGCATTATACTAAAGAACATGATTAGAAGTGACTTACCCGAAATTAATGCGCCGTACTTGTTTGGAGATGCCCGCGGGCACGGTGGCGAGCGCACGAAAGGTGCAGTGAACTTCAGCGGACCCCGAACACGCGCACTGACGAGGACACACACCACTGGAGCCCGGAGAACTGACCAGCAGCATCAGCATCAGCATCAGCCCGACGCACGGAGAGCCCATGCTGAACGCCAGAGTACGCGCTTCTGAAGCCTTCACGTTCCTCTATCACTGAGACACACAGACACATCTTACACACAGCCCACAGAGACACATCTCACACACAGCCCACAGAGACACATCTCACACACAGCCCACAGAGACACATCTCACACACAGCCCACAGAGACACATCTTACACACAGCCCACAGAGACACATCTCACACACAGCCCACACAGACACATCTTACACACAGCCCACAGAGACACATCTCACACACAGCCCACAGAGACACATCTCACACACAGCCCACAGAGACACATCTCACACACAGCCCACAGAGACACATCTCACACACAGCCCACAGAGACACATCTCACACACAGCCCACAGAGACACATCTTACACACAGCCCACAGAGACACATCTCACACACAGCCCACAGAGACACATCTCACACACAGCCCACAGAGACACATCTTACACACAGCCCACAGAGACACATCTCACACACAGCCCACAGAGACACATCTCACACACAGCCCACAGAGACACATCTCACACACAGCCCACAGAGACACATCTCACACACAGCCCACAGAGACACATCTTACACACAGCCCACAGAGACACATCTTACACACAGCCCACAGAGACACATCTCACACACAGCCCACAGAGACACATCTTACACACAGCCCACAGAGACACATCTTACACACAGCCCACAGAGACACATCTCACACACAGCCCACAGAGACACATCTTACACACAGCCCACAGAGACACATCTTACACACAGCCCACAGAGACACATCTTACACACAGCCCACAGAGACACATCTCACACACAGCCCACAGAGACACATCTTACACACAGCCCACAGAGACACATCTCACACACAGCCCACAGAGACACATCTCACACACAGCCCACAGAGACACATCTTACACACAGCCCACAGAGACACATCTTACACACAGCCCACAGAGACACATCTCACACACAGCCCACAGAGACACATCTCACACACAGCCCACAGAGACACATCTTACACACAGCCCACAGAGACACATCTTACACACAGCCCACAGAGACACATCTTACACACAGCCCACAGAGACACATCTCACACACAGCCCACAGAGACACATCTCACACACAGCCCACAGAGACACATCTCACACACAGCCCACAGAGACACATCTCACACACAGCCCACAGAGACACATCTCACACACAGCCCACAGAGACACATCTTACACACAGCCCACAGAGACACATCTCACACACAGCCCACAGAGACACATCTCACACACAGCCCACAGAGACACATCTCACACACAGCCCACAGAGACACATCTCACACACAGCCCACAGAGACACATCTCACACACAGCCCACAGAGACACATCTCACACACAGCCCACAGAGACACATCTCACACACAGCCCACAGAGACACATCTCACACACAGCCCACAGAGACACATCTTACACACAGCCCACAGAGACACATCTTACACACAGCCCACAGAGACACATCTCACACACAGCCCACAGAGACACATCTCACACACAGCCCACAGAGACACATCTTACACACAGCCCACAGAGACACATCTTACACACAGCCCACAGAGACACATCTCACACACAGCCCACAGAGACACATCTTACACACAGCCCACAGAGACACATCTCACACACAGCCCACAGAGACACATCTCACACACAGCCCACAGAGACACATCTCACACACAGCCCACAGAGACACATCTCACACACAGCCCACAGAGACACATCTCACACACAGCCCACAGGTGTTCACAGAAAATCACATCTATGGGGTCAAATATGCCAACCCGATCACACTAAACGCATCTGTATAGCACGCAGTGTGTTTTTCGTGTAATTTATATGCGAAAATTAGTTTTTACTTGCATAGGATACGCATGGGTTGGTTAGGGTAGGTTTAGTAGTGGTGTGGGGTGCGTGTGTATTACACGCAAATGAACTGCGTATCATATGCACGTAAAAACTCATTTTCGCGTATAAATTGCACGATAATACACAATGCGTGCTAAAGAGACGCATTTACGTGAGAACAGGCTGAATATGCAGAGAAATATGGGTTTCTTATTCCTGCGGGATAAACTGAACATTTTAAGCTTATTTTTTCATTTTTGATTCCTCCATGAGATCTGGATTAGTTCCAAATTATAATCAAATTCCTTTTGCTATACTTAAGGATATTTCCCAACTCAATTAAAATCATTTTTTAAGGAATTAAATTAAGCAAGCATGAAGACAAATAGCAGCCCAACAGTCAATGTTTAATGATGAATGCATGAAGACATTTCTCAATATATATAAATAACAATATATATTGTTACATATATTCGGATTATGAAACTAATCCAAATATCTTTGTTATATATATATATATATACACATACAGTAACAAGTTCAGAATAAGCAAAGCAAGAGTAGCATTTTAGTTCTAAATATATATTTTTTCTATATGCAGCACAAGAACAAAACCAAAAGAATAACATTACAAGAAGTTTAAGATATGTAAAGTTATGAAGTTTTCAGATTCTTAAACAAAATGAAACTCACCTTAAAGTTCACTTTTCGAGCCTTCATTTCCTTAAAGTAGATCAGCTTCTCCTAAAATGCACCATTATATCACAGCATCCTTTTTTAAATGTTCACCAGGTTTTATACTTGATAAATGCAACAGCCAATAGAATAAAAAAAAGAGCTGAATATAAAAGCAGAGAAATATGGGTTTCTTATTCAAAGGCTTCTGTAATAAATGACCTCCATGAGGATCCAGTTAAAGGTGCTTCAGCGTCTGAGAGGAGCTGTGGGTCGAGCTGGAAGAGAGAGGTTGTGAAACCCAAGCTCGAGTAAGGAGGGGCTAAAGGAGAAAAACCCCTCCGATTATTTGCCCTCCTTTGAAAACGTCCGGTCGCAGCTGCTCAGTGTAATCCACTGGGTCTCAACAACAGAGTTCTGCGTCTGCAACACTATTAATAACAATAAAGCTTCTTCATTAGCATTGATGATTCCATGAAGAACCACTAGAGGTTCTTTATAGTGGGAAAAAGATTGTTAAAGTGCTCTTCACACTAACGTTGTGTCCAAAATCGAATACTTTCCTACTATGTAGTACGCCAAAAACAGTACGCCAGCAGAGTAGTGTGTATTCATGAAGAAGAAGGATAAAATACTACATCCAGCGAGACTCTGAAGTGCGCATCTGATGGACACTTGGCTATCCCATGAGGCCACAGGAGAGGATTTGTGAACGACAGTAAAGCCTTAGATCATATGACAGTGACAACATGGCTGATGTAGTACGTCCGAATTGTGACTTTTTATCTCACAATTGTGTTATAAAGTCAGAATTGCGAGATATGAACTTGTAATTGCAAGAAAGACTCGCAATTCGGACTTTATAACACAATTATGTTTATCTCGCAATTCTGACTTTATAACACGCAATTCTGACTTTATATCACGCAATTCTGACTTCATATCACGGAATTTTGACTTTATATCACGCAATTCTGACTTTATATCACGCAATTCTGACTTCATATCACGCAATTCTGATTTTATATCACGCAATTTTGACTTTATATCTCGCAATTTTGACTTTAAATCACGCAATTTTGACTTTATATCACGCAATTTTGACTTTATATCACGCAATTTTGACTTTATATCACGCAATTCTGACTTTACCTCACGCAATTCTGACTTTATATCTCGCAATTTTGACTTTATATCTCGCAATTCTGACTTTATATCTCGCAATTTTGACTTTATATCTCGCAATTTTGACTTTATATCTCGCAATTCTGACTTTATATCTCGCAATTCTGACTATATATCACACAATTTTGACTTTATATCTCGCAATTCTGACTTTATATCTCGCAATTCTGACTATATATCACACAATTTTGACTTTATATCACGCAATTCTGACTTTATATCACGCAATTCTGACTTTATATCACGCAATTTTGACTTTATATCTCGCAATTCTGACTTTATATCACGCAATTTTTACTTTATATCACGCAATTTTTACTTTATATCACGCAATTCTGACTTTATATCACGCAATTCTGACTTTATATCACGCAATTCTGACTTTACATCACGCAATTCTGACTTTATATCTCGCAATTTTGACTTTATATCTCGCAATTTTGACTTTATATCTCGCAATTCTGACTTTATATCTCGCAATTCTGACTATATATCACACAATTTTGACTTTATATCTCGCAATTCTGACTTTATATCACGCAATTCTGACTTTCTATCACGCAATTCTGACTTTATATCTCGCAATTTTGACTTTATATCTCGCAATTCTGACTTTATATCACGCAATTCTGACTTTATATCACGCAATTTTGACTTTATATCATGCAATTCTGACTTTATATCACGCAATTTTTACTTTATATCACGCAATTCTGACTTTATATCACGCAATTCTGACTTTATATCACGCAATTTTTACTTTATATCACGCAATTCTGACTTTATATCACGCAATTCTGACTTTATATCACGCAATTCTGACTTTATATCACGCAATTTTTACTTTATATCACGCAATTCTGACTTTGTATCACGCAATTCTGACTTTATATCTCGCAATTCTGACTTTATAACAAGCTATTGTGACTTTAACACACAATTGTAAGTTTATATCTCGCAATTCTGACTTTATAACACAATTGTATGTTTATATCTCGCAAATCTGACTTTATAACACGCAATTCTGACTTTATAACAAGCTATTGTGACTTCAACACACAATTGTAAGTTCATAACTGGCAAATCTGACTGTATAACACAATTGTATGTTTATATCTCGCAATTCTGACTTTATAACAAGCTATTGTGACTTTATATCTTGCAATTGCATGTTTATATCACGCAATTCTGGCTTTATAACACACAATTCTGACTTTATAACACGCAATTCTGACTTTATAACACACAATTCTGACTTT